GTGTGTGTGTGTGTGTGTGTGTGAAAGAGAGAGAGAAAAGCAGAATACTAGAGCCAGCGTAGTCTAGCGTGTTGAGTGTTGGACTATGACTCTGGAGACCAGGGTTCGATTCCCCGCTCAGCCATGAAACCTACTAGGTGACCTTGGCCAAGTCACACACTCTCAGCCTCAGGAGAAGGCAATGGCAAACCTCCGCTGAACCGATCTTGCCAAGAAAACCCAGTGATACAGTCACTATATGTATATGACTTGAAGGCACACAACAAAAACTCATACTACAAAAATTGCCTTTTAGCCACAAGGTGGTGATATTGACCTACAGTTTTACACACGAAAACATAAGACCAGTCCTTTGTCATGGAAAGAAAAGAACATGGCAGGTGTTTGGTCTGTTGTTACAGGCTTTGCTTTCTCCACTGATTTCTATTCTTGTTCATGGCAAGTTTACCTAATGTGGGCTTATGCTCTGTGGGCCACAGCGGCAGACTTCTTCCCAAAGAACTTCTGTATTGAGTCACAACCAAGGACAGCTGGCCAATTTCCGCTCTCTTCTGAAAATGCATTGATTTGGCAATAGTGGGTTTGATCCAGGCTTAGTCACACTTTAGTTATTTATAATACATCTCACTGATCTCAGTGGATCTACTCCAAGCATGAGTTAAGTCCATCTTAACACACTGAGGGTGTAGCCACACTGCGGAATTAAACCAGCTTGTCATCACTTTAACTGCCATGACTTCTACAAGATCCTGGGATTTTTAGTTTGCTGAGGCATTCAGCCTGGTCTGTAAGAGAGCCTCAATAAACTACATATCCCAGGATTCTGTAGGATTGAGTCATGACAGTTAAAAGTGGTGTCAAACTGCTTTAATTGTGTAGTGTGGCTACACCCTGCCTGGGTGTATTGACACTTCATATATCTCTCCATATCCACAGATTCTTTTTCTGTGGATTCAAGCATATATCATTTCAAATGGCAAATTTTTATTTTAAAAATAATATAATACATTTTACTTATAGCCCACCTCTCCCTGCGGATCGAGGCGGGTTACAACAAATAGGAATAACAATAAAATACAACATACAAGTAAAACCAGATTTCTAAATAATCCCTTACCCCAACTGTTTTATATAAGGAACACTATTTTACTATGCTATTGTATTTATTAATACCAAACCCCAGCAGATACCAAGGGCCCAATTTACAGCACTATGATCACATTTTAATTGCCCTTTCACTCTACAGAATCCTTGGATGTGCAATTTGGCAATGTGCTTAAAATAACCAGCTACAGAACTTAGTCCACACCCATTACCTACAGCACTAGAGCTCTCTAGCAGACAACTCTACGTACCTCACTGAACTACAAATCCCATTCGGCTGGAATAGGGGCAGTTAGAATGGAATCAAAGTGCTATACATGTGTAGTGTGGATGCACTTACTGTTTACTTCAAGACAGAGAAGCATCAGGCTCTGGGACTGACTCCCACTCACATGATGCCTCCGAAGTTCCATAGATAACTACACCATTGTTTGGTGGCTCCCCCTTTTTTATTTTTCTGATCCCTCCGCTCCTTCTAGGGCATTCTGGGCAGTAAGAGCACAGATATGCTGGCACTCTTGGTTCCCCTTGGCCCCACTCACTGCTGGAATAAAGCTGCTGAGCATTTCTCTGAAACTGAATCCAGCTGTGGGGCTAGAAGAGGTTCTCCAGTTTTGGTTTTCCTTGACTGCAAAGTTTAGTTTTAGACTGGCATCCTATTCTGCAAGTGCACATTTTAATTCTCGGCGATTATTTTCCCAAAACAAACTTTCAGAGAAAGGTAAGGTTTTCAATATTTGCCACTCTTTAACCATTCTGGGAGAAATATGTAATTCTGTCAGTATGCCATCCTTCCCAAATGTATGGGCAAAGAAATGCTCAGTAGAGCAAGTGTTAATGTTGGCATACTTACGCATTTCTTCCCATAATAAATACAGTCGGCTCTCCTTATCCATGAATTCAAGCATCCATGGCTTGAAAATGCTCCAAAAAGATAAAAATGCCAAAAAGCAAACCTTGATTTTGTCATTTTATATAAAGGACATAATTTTACTATTCCCATTGTATTTAATGGGACTTGAATATCCATGGATTTTGGTATCCATGGGGGTCCTGGAACGAAACCCCAGGAGAAACCATAAAGAAGAGAAACATATTTATTATTTATACATATTCTCTGCCTATCTGCAGGTAAGACGACATTCGACATTCATCATGAAGCCTGTTTTCCTGAGCCCTTTGCTGCAAGTGGAGATAGAATGAGAGCTTTAAAGCAAAAGTTAGGTAGGCTATCCAGAAGCGCTTCCTCTTAATAGCAGCAATAGAACAAGTTTCTATTTCCCTGGAGATTTTAAGAGTAGATAAGAGCTATGTATTGGCAATACTTTCAAGCTGAGAAGGAATCCTCTAATCTTCATGAGTCAGAGACAAATGAGTTCTCTGGTTCCAAAAAGGATGTTTTAAATTTTATATGACACAAGCATTCTCACACTGGGGAACAAAGTTGCTCAGAGATTTCCTACCTACTACTTTCCTTTAAAATGCTAGTCAAACAAAAAAGCCCCACAGCACAAGAAGAGAGAAACAACCTAAATGTTCATTATAAAGAAACTTTATACCAAATACATTTATATATAAACATCTCACTTCAGTCCCTCTTGGTCCCCCAGGATATGCTCAATAATGTGTATGTGGATTTCATAGGGTTTTCTTAGGCAAGTTACACTCAGAGGTGTTTTTGCCAGTCCCATCCTCTGAAATATAGCCTACAGCACCTGGTATTTGTTGGCAATCTCCCAGCCAAGAGCTGATGGGTATATATTTCTTAGGATGCATACTGCATTTCCCCTGCACTCCATAACGCTAAGTGTTCATATTACTGATACTCCTCCAGGCAATAAATAACTCGTTCATGCTGCATCATAAGCTGTATAAGTGTTTGTAAATTTAGGAAAGGTTATTTATTTTCCTTTACTCTTAGTTCTCATTAGGGATGAATCTATAGCATTGCAACTTTTTCATACAATAGGTTTCATGGCTGGTTCTGTGATACTGGGTAAACAAAAGCCCAGACTCACAATTAACCATTAGGACCACAACACGCCTAACAATCTTTCCAGTAGTATGAAACTAACTTTGTATCAGCAAAGTGGACTAAGCAATGAGTGCCGTAAAATGTTTCCCTAAACCTAGCTGCTGATTGAAAGACAGATAACTGCAGCAAAACACTGAATATTTTAATAATACTTTGCTTGCCACTTTGAGCTCAGTTGCAGGCTTGCCTTGAATACTCAGATCATGTTCTTGTTTTTCTTACGAAGGGAAGTACATTGTTGTTGTTATTAACTGCCCTCAACTCATGGCGACCCTATAGAAGAGACATCTCCAAGACCCTCTGTCCTCCACTGCTCTGCTTAATTTCTGCAATCCCTTAATTCCCGTGACCTCATTTATAGTCCATCCATCTGGTATGTGGTCTTCCTTTCTTCCTCCCTACCTCCACCTTCCCCCTCATTATTGTCTTTTCCAATGATTAATGTCTTCTCATGACATGTTCAAAGTACAACAACCTGAGTTTGGTCATCTTGGCTTCTAGAGAGGTTTCTGGCTTGATCTACTCTAGGACCCACTTGTTTGTCCTTTTGACTGTCTTGTCCAGCACCACATCTCAAATGAATTGATTTTCCTTCCATCATCTTTCCAGCTCTTACATCCATACATGGTAGCAGGGAATACAATGGCTTCTATGATTCTAACTTTTGTTCTGAGTTGTATATCTTTGCTTTTTAGAATCTTTTTATCCCAGGTATGAGAATTCTTTTACCCTTTCTATTTCTTCATTGTCTAGGTTGAACTTGTG